TATAGAAACATTTCGTATGGAGCTGCGACATTTCTCTACGTTTTTCTCTGGAGCGTTTAAACATCTTTCGTATGAAAACAAAAATTTATGTATTGAAATAATTCGAATAGAAATATCTGAATATCATATACGTAAATCCNCTGGCCGCTCAACCGAAGATTCCCGATGGTGCTCGAGCTGAATGTTCTGGAATTTTAGTTGCGTTTCTAACAAGGTTATAAAAAAAATGTTGCTATCTCCTTCAGATTTCGAGATATTAATTGAAAACTGGTCGCTTCGCTACTGAATTGTACTTGAGAATTAGCTTTTTTTTTTTTAACCATGTTTTTATTTAATTTTAACAATTGGTATTTACAGTTATTTACAATATTTATATTTTAAAAAAACAGGTACATAAAGAAACTTAACGATAAGTAACTGAGTTATTATAAACAAATGGTCACTTTGTGACTCTCTAGTTTAATAAATTTTCTGGTATTTTACTTGAGAATTAGCCAACTGTAATGGTTGGGTAAGTTAGGTGTTGCTCCGGCGGACATCCGAGTGCAGCTGCGTTTAGCGCGGTTAGTACTTGGATGGGTGACCGCTTAAAAACACCCTCCCCCAAAAATTTCGGAAGGTAGGCACGGGGTAGTGCCCTAATGTGCCTCTCTAGTCAGTGTGACAGAAGGGCTCATTAGGGCTCTGCACAATCGGCCGGCTGTACGACTGGGGTTTTCCATGGTCTCTCGTGCAGTCCTAGCCCGAATGCGGTACAGTTAACAGTAAGACGGGCCCATGGTAACGATAAAGATAAAGATCAGAAGAGAGAAGTGGGAGAGGCAAGGCAGACGAATGGGCAGCCTATAAAATCGTAATGGTAGTAGGAAAGAAATATGAATAAAAATAATACACTTGAGAATTAAAAATTATTCTCAAATTTAAATAAAAAAGTAGTGAACTTTAATTAATCTAAAGTAAACTTTTTTTAAAATTACTTTGTACCCATGTTTGCCGATCCCTGATAAAAAATATCTAAGGGAGTAGAGAGATCAGTCACAGCAATATCGAACTTGGGAAACCGATAATATGAATTAGATATACTGTTAAAAAATTTTGGTTGAAATTTGCAAACTTTTGCAACACTTTTCGGAAACTTTTATTGCATTTCAACTCCATCGAACTTTCAAGGAATTTCCTCATTGAAAATTTAGAATTTCGCGAAAAAATTAATGAGAACTGTGAATTTCAGTTCAATTATTCCTTAAAAATTAGTAGAAATCCGTAAAATTTCTGTAAATATTTAAAAAAAGGTTCCTCACAATTCCTCCAGAGATGAATCATCCTTGCCATAATTCACGGACCCGAATAAATTTTCATCAACGCAAAATGTTTCACCACCCCTCTATTGAACTGAAGCCCGTTCGATTTAATATCAATTTAAATTCTTAGAATCTCGCGTTGCTCAGTGCTCCACAAAGACCCTAATAACATCGCGTGGGACGAGAGTAAGCGTATAATGCCGGAACTCCATCACTCGAACCGCGGGTTCCTCATAGCGAATCACGTTTTCATGACGTGTGGGTCGTAAAACTGTGGCTCCTGCCATCGCGTAGGTGGCCACCATGAACCGTTCAATTCGAGAGTTCAACGCGAATATTAATTAGTTTTTCTCCCAAGCCTGTGATATCACGATTAGATAGTTAAACGTCAAAGTCATTCTGTTCAATTTAAGCATGTTTATCCAAAATTGCAAGCTCTCAGAAATTTTTTTAGCATTTTCTTCTTCATGCTGATAAAAATTTTAATCCACCAACCGGAATTGATTATTCAAAAATAAAATAGACAATATGCACCAACTGTAGGCGTTAGCATGAGATTACACGGGGCTTGAAGTTTTAAATATCCGCATTACTTGCTTGTGCACACCAGTAGACTTTAATATATTCTGCCACACTGTTCTCTATTGCTTCCGAATGGAAGCTTTGTAATCATTAAGATTTAAGAATAATCGGGCGAGGAGGAAATGTAGAAGGTGAGTCGGAGGGGTTTCTATTATTTTCCTGCAGAAAACCAATCGCTGAACAAAAACATTTTTCCCATTCTGATTAAAAATTCAGGCAATATTAGGGAGTATCTCCGGTTTAAAAATATTTTTGAAACTAATCAAATTTATTTGTATCTGTTCCACGCATTGAATGGTTTTCAGATTGTTTTTTTTTTAATAAATGAAAAAATATTAATCCATGCGTAAAAGTGGCAACATCCTCGGTAGTTTTTTTTTCACCAGGAGCTGGTACCACTGGCTCGAGGGAGCTCCAATCACAACGCTTCATCGCTCTCTCTCAAGAGACGTTTAAATTGACCGCGCTACCCCCATCCGATACTTGGGACGTTGCTGCTCGTTTGGGCTGCGTGCGCAGAAATTTCATTTTTCAGTACTTTTTTCGCTATTATTAATAAACAATGCTCCTAGGCGACAATCTTTTCCACTCAAAAAATCATTGATCACATTTTCTAAATGTGTCTAAAGTTTCATGACTTTAGCTGCATTTTTTCCTTGGGTTTTGTAGTTTTTTTTGTGATTTCCATGAAATCACGGGTTAAATGACCACTTTTTCAAAAATTCATAATAAATTAACCATGCTCCCCAGCAGTTGGGAACTTTGCACACGCCTTTTCCATCATTTGAAGAATACGTAAAAAAAAAGAAAAAAAAGGCTGCTTTTTTTCCAACCCTCCCAGCTCGCCCAATTATCCTTAAGTTTTTTATTTTTTGTGTTATATCCACCCAATATGATCTAAAAAGTCTGGAAATACCATTGTTCAACTTCCTCCGCACGTGCGTGTGTATGTGTGTACGCATGTAACAAAGTTTTTCTTCAATTGATCGCTAATGAATGGTTGGAATTGATTTTTTTTTTCAAATGTAGATATTGTTGAGTCCTATCGATCGTCATTAATTACCTGTGCGCGCGCTTATCTATTCGTTGTGAACATGACGAAAGCGAATTAAAGACTTAAAGAGAATTAAGAGAATGAAGAGTGAAACATCAATGAATAATTTTTAATCTTAGATTAATTCTTATTTTTACTTTTTAAAATAATCGGATTCAAATCTGTAATTCTTGAAAAATGAGGGGCGCGTTGTGAATTTATTTCCTAAAAAATTGAAAAAATTTCTTTTCATTTTTCATCATTTGGAAATTTAGATTATCAATTATTTTAGTATTTTTAATTTCGATTAGTATATTTAAACCTCGATGAATTCTATTAATGTTGAAGAAGAAATTCTATTAATATTGAAGGATCGGAAGATTGATGGCCATCCCTGTTATATTTTTTCCTGCCAGTAGATCGAATTCTTCTGGGGGATATTTATGATGATTACGACAAAAATTTAATTTTTTTGAAAGATATTAAATTTTCGTCTATCAAGTTGGTTGGTTGCTTAATTTCCCTCAAGTAATTCAGTTCCACTTCATCAAATATTCTCACGTGGAACATATTGGGAACTCAGATGGGGGCGGGGCCTAGGTTGCGGATCCTACTTGCACGGATTCGCATTTTCGCCACTCGACCATAGCTCCTTGGGAGAGATAGGGCTCGCAACCTACTTACACGGGTTCCTATCCCGTCCGATAGATAGGGTATTCGAGTTCCTGATTTCCCAATACTTGTTCGGCAGAGCTTATTCTTTCTCTGAATGTAAATAATTCAAAAATTGTCTTATTGTCATAGGTCTTGCACCATTGAATTACTGATTTTCCGTTCTATATCTCCTCACAATTTGTGAACAAGGTGCTGACGTCACTCTGTATAAAAAATGTTGGTTTCATGTTTTCCCTCATCAGTCTGAAAAAAACCCAGAATTTCCCTCGAACATGAAGAACATAGATTTTCACAAATTGCAGAACCATCTCTAATTATTAATTTAATCCAGTTAGTTGTATTCTATTCGAGGTGGGGGAGAGTTGTTTACCTTTCTTGTTCAGCGAGTCTCGCTCGGTGTTCCGCTTCATGGCTGAGTCTTTCCAAGGCCGCAGCCCTTTCCTCTGCTTCCTCCAGGGCTGCCACAGCTCTTGCTCTTTCCTCACGCAGCTCCAACGATCGCCTTTCCAATTCTGTTCTTTGTGCTGACACAAACTGCACCTGAAAATTATTTTTAACGTAAATGTTTATTGAGATAATAGAAAGAAAGATAAGAGACGAAACGAAGGTGAAAATATTTCTTCTATCAATTGCGTCAATGTTTTTTGAGCTGGATTTTCTCCTGCATTGTGAAATGGTCATTATATTATCATTGAGAGGGCATTATTCAAAGGGCATTATTTGAGAACATGATTTTCGGAGAATGTTGGAATTGGATTGTCTTTGTAGTTGCAGGAGTTTTAAGAAATAAAAATTTCGATGCATATAGACACCAAGAAGATGTAGACACATTTAGATTTGTATTTTCGTTCTTTTTTTTTCCTTTTCACATGAAACCCATTCGGCTGTTTTCGTTCGGTTGAGTAAGATTCCAAACTGTTAGGTGTCACCCGGCTACCGGGATTTGAACTCTGAATCTTCCGCATGTGAGTCGAGAGTTGAACCCACTACGCCAGACCGCCAGAGCAGTCATTGACATATGTTGATAGAATTTATATTGTTAAAATTTGGTACTCGTTGCCTAGTTGAGCTCTTTATCACTTGAGAGTCATAAAAAAAAATGATAAAAATTCACGATTCAATGGTTTTATATTATTGCCCTAATTTTACAGTAAACAAGTGGATAATTGCATTTTTAATAAATGAGTATAGTTATTGTTGCTAACAAATTAGCAAATTGCTTCTGAATGCCTTCTCCTTTTTAAAATTGTTATTTCACTGTTCTCTTTTTTTGTTATGCGTTTTATTTATGCGTTTTATTTCGTTTTGCCAAATGATTCTACATTCAGATCCTCTTAACACTTGAATTCTTTTTCGTGAAGTGGAGTAATCCACTCATTATTGTGTCAGTTATTTGATACGTACGAATCTAACATATTCTATTCTGCGACTTGATTGAGGGAAGTTAAGGTACTTCCTCAGTGAGTTATACTTGGTGAAAATTTCGCAATGAACTGAAGACCTAAAATTTGGATCATATCGTCACATTAAAATCAAAGGGGCGTAAGTGCCAAAAAACCCATTTTAAAAGTGAAAGGGGCGTATGTTCCGAATTCCTGTTTTTTCGGTTTTTCATGGAATTTCTGACCAAAAATCGGAAAAAAAAAATTCTAGGAAAAAGGCGTAATTGCTATATTTCAACGGGAAAGGGGCGTATCTCCACAGTTACGCCTGTTTCATTTCATTCAAAAAATGACACTTACGCCCTTTTTACATTATGTGTTGTGCACTTCGGATGACACATTTCATGTTGAAATAAAACGAAAAGGGCGTAAGTCCCACATACGCCTCTCTCTCATTATATCTTAGGTCTACTCGCGATAATGAGTTTTATATTGTTATATCAACATAAAACGCTTTAACTATTTTCTTCTTCCTTTATGGTCTCATTTTCTTCCGAAGTGTTCAAAGCAGTCACGACTCGAAATTTCATACAGATAATTTCCTGAAATTCGCAGTCATAATTTAAAAAAATGAAATAAATTAATGAATGAAATCGAATAAATTTAGAAGAAAATTTTAGAAAATTTTAGTTTAGTTACTGATATTTCTCATGAAATTGTTTCATTCAAGCAAAAAATCAAAGGGAAATAATTTGAACATTCATGATGAGAGGGAGGGAGGGGAGGTTAATGTAGAATCAAATATTATTTATTATTAGGGCTGTAGTGCATGTGATTCCGTTTATACTTGATGAATCAATAGGAACGAACAGTAACAAATGAAGGGACATATATATTGGAGTTACGCCCCTCTGTGATTATTGCTTCAAAAACAAAGGGACGTATGTGCCTGAGTTACGCCCCTTTGGAATTATTCATTCTCAATATGAGCTAGAAAAGAAACAAAAAGTATAAAAAGAAAGAGGCGTATGTGCTGGAGATACGCCCCTTCAGTACTTGCTAGTCGGACTTACGTCCATTTGCTACTTCAGAAATTTGTCCACAAAAAACCTTTCATAAGTTGAGAAAACTCCATTTCGAAGGAAAAAAAAACATACGCCCCTTTGGTATTAAGAGAAAAAAAATCTCAGAGAAATGGCACTTACGCCCCTTTGATTTTAATGCGACGATATGTTGTTGAGGGCGTGTAAAAAGGACTCTCAAAATTTCAAGTATTTTTTCCACACGAATTTTTGACATATCCGTCGTCAAACATTCAATTTTTGTCTTTTTTAAGTTTTTGTCGACGCGAATTTTTGAGATATCCATCGACAAACATTCAATTTTTGTCTTTTTTAAGTTTTTGTCGACGCAAATTTTTTAGATATCCATCATGAAACATTCAATTTTTGTCTTTGTAAGTTTTTGTCGATGCAATCTCAAAAATTCGCGTGGAAAAAATACTTGAAATTTTGGGAATTGGTTTCACATGTGTTCAACAACATCTGATCCAAATTTTAGATCTTCAGTTCATTGCGAAATTTTCACAAAGTATAACTCACTGAGGAAGTGCCTTAAGCAACTCAGAAGGCAAAATTAGAAGATCGTCAAAATCAACGATTTCAAAGCTTCCATTCAGAAGCAAAAGTACACTGCAATCAAAGAATCAGTGTAGAAACCTTTACGGAGCAAACAAGTTTTTGTTTTTTGAGAAGTACTTCTTTACTTGTATCAAGAAATTCGTGGTTTGAAAATTATCAAGCGCACAATATCTCACACTAAGAAAAAAAAATCTAACGCTAAGGAATTTTATACTTGTCCTGAAGATAAAGACAATTTCTTCATATGAAGAAAACAAGTTCTCAAATCAATTAAAGTGGTTTTTGCATTAAAATATTTTAGAATTGAGGCTAACAAACTGCTAAACGAATTAAATCAATTTTACTTGGTTTGAGAAATCGCTTTCTTGTCATCAAGGAAGTCCTTGAAGGAGGGATTGTCCTCGTCTTTAGGATAAGTACAAAATTACTTGACGCAAGTTTTTATTTTCTTAGTGCAAGATATTTTACTCTTGAGAATTTTCCAGTCAGAAGTTTCTTCTTCACGTTGTGTTATTAAACCGCTTCAATTATTACAACATGATATGGTTGCTGGGATATAGAGATAGGTCATGTTTATTTTCATTTTGATGTATTATGAATTATTTTGGATTGATAAATACAGTAAAAAAAGGGGGGAGATACTTGTGCTCCACATAGTAATGGAGATCTCAAACTTCCTGTTGTTAGGGGAGGTTATCAATGTTGATATTCGTGCCTTCATACGTTAACATCTTGAATATGAAGGTGGAGTGGATGAGTTAAATGAAATAAAGATTGCCCAGATGAGGAGTGCATTTAGCACTCGAAACATTGGCATATGAATTTGGATTAAAAGTTTGGTTTTGAATGCAATTTATGACCGCATTATGGCCCCAGGAAGGTGTTTTCTATTGTCAGAAGTTTTTCTTGATATAAGTAAAGTCGTATTTCTCAAAAACCTCTGTTGTTGTCAGTGTAGCAATTCGAAATTGGTGTAAGTCATCATACATTTCCGACATGAATTGAAGTACAAAAAATTTCTTGTTAAAAATCTACTTATTTACCTCATCCCTGAGAATCTCCAAACTGCTGACATGATCCTGAAGTGATGTGCTCCTCACAGCACACTTTTCCCTGAGTACCTTGACCTCAGCCAACAGCTGCTCCTCCTGCTTGGCTGCTTCTCTCAGCTGATCAGCGAGCCTCGTGTTTTGAGCAGTGAGTTCGGCGACCAATGTTGCCTGTTCCCTCTCAGCCCTCCTGGCTCGTTCACTCTGCTCCTCTAATTGACTCCGGAGGGTCTCCACATCAGCCTGAAGCTCCAGGACGTGTGCTTCATTCTCTCCTTTCGCCTCTTCCAGTCTTCTACGGAGCAGATGACGTTCCTGCTCCAGACACTGAAAAAAAGGATTGAATTTTTTCATTAATTCCGATCTAAGCGGCTGTTTCTTTTAAAGGTCAATATTCAGTGACGTAATGTAAGGTAATGCCTATAATTGTGAACTGAGATCATGGACAATTTCGATGATTCAGGATTAAATCATTCATGAATCATCGAAATAAAGGACTGTTCGATGAATTATGCACAATGAAGATTGCATAAATCTAATATGTAGAAGAGACATTTAAGTCGGAAATGTGGTAAGCTACAAAAAGATATCTGGAAATGGAAATAAAGTTTAAAAATTCAATTGATTTGGAAATTTCAAGTGATTGAAATACGTTGGAAATTTTTATCAAGTAGCAGTTTTGCTGAAATTGCCCCATATTTCGTCATTGGAAATTGACAATTTCATGGAAAGATGAATAGAAATAATAAATGTCAGCCCAATTATGCTATAAAAATTAATAGAAATCAGGAAAATTTAAAGAAAAGTATTTTTGATGTTCCAATTAGTTGAATAATCGACGGAATTTGATGCTAAATATGCATGTTTTGATTGCAAATTCAAGTAAATTGAGAAATTTACGTCCTCCTGCTCATAAAAAATTTGAAATTCCATTGAATTTTCCGTGGAGTTTGAAATGTTATTACTTTTCCCCCTCCGAATCGTATCAATATCACTCTTCTGAAAATTACTACTAAAATAACCATGAAATTTTAGTTTTTTATACTTAAATAATCGGCATTGTGGTCACGTCAGACTTTCAGGGAGAAATTAAAAACAAAGTCATAAATCAGGCAACGTTTTGATCCATCTGCGGATTCTCTTAAGAGAATTCAGGGCTAGTTTATTTCGAGCCAGTTAGTGGCGTAGAGGGACAGCAGTCCCCAAGTTAGATAAGTAAACAGAAGTTATATTAAATAAATTACACTGATTGAGTCAAAAATACAAAATGAAACAACTGGAAAAAATAAAAAATGTTGAACATTGTCAAGATAACAAATGCTCTTTGAGGTCTGTTGGACCCATTTCATCCAAAAGTCAGGAGCGACTAGGTGAATGGGCATGTTGACACTTGGATGTTTATGACGGGAGAAAAATTTTCAATTTTTACTTCCGGATGTATTCGTCAAATCCGAAATTTCCTAATTTTTGTGTCAGGATAAGTAATTTTGGCCTCAGAAGTTGGAATGGGCTATTTTCAGACCACGTCCGAATGTATGTATGTGTGTGTATGTGACCGATTGGTTTTCGACGATAACTGGAAAGGTAATTGTTTAAATGATCCAATTGCGATTTCAAATATTTTTCCTAATACCATCTTAACTGAGTTCGATCATGAGATTGATTGCATCAACTGTTGAAGAAGCCTATTTTGAGACCAATATTCAGGGAAAGGTAAAAAATTTTAACGTTGGGGCAATGTTGACTGCCAACTCTGAGAGATCGATCGATGGCTACTCGATGTTGGCTCAATAGGAGGTCCACTTATTCGCTTGGTTGATTGCCGGTCAATCGTTGGTTGATTACTATAGTGGAGGGTTATTCGATCGATGATCAATTGCTGGTCGATGATTAGTCGATCGACGGTCGATGGTCAATTGCCCCCGAATCAATTGTTGGTCGATTGCTAGTTGGTCGTTGACTGATCGATGGTCGAACCGTGATCGACTCGCACTCGACTGCATGAACAAATCGAACTTCCTATCGAGTGATCCGTCAGGAAATGTTAAAGTAATGTTGACAGTCAATGTTGAGGTAATAATGGCTGCTAACTTTGGGACAATGTTGGTTGCCAACCCTGACAAATCGATTGACGGCTACTCGACATTAGCTCAACAGGAAGTCGACTTGTTCACTCGGTCGATCGTTGGTTGATCAGTAGTAGAGGGTGAGTCGATCGATGGTCGATCATTGGTCGATTGCTGGTCGATGATTGTTCGATCGACGGTCGATGGTCAATTGTTGGTCGCTTGCTAGTCGATCGTTGATTGATCGATGGTCGACCAATCGAACCATGATCGACTATCATTCGACTGCGTGAACAACTCGAACCCCCTATCGAGTGATCCGTCAGAGAATGTTACGGTAATGTTGACTGTCAATGTTGAGGCAATGATGGCGGCTAACGTTGGGGCAATGTTAAATCAATCGAAAGAGTTACGGGTAATTCAAAGATTAGACGAAAGAGAATATCTGATATTCATTGCAGCCTCGAGCAAAATTTATCGAAGAAAATTCAATTCATCATGATTTGTTCAAGTGATGAACTAAATGAGAATAAATTAGGTGATTAAAAGTGATATTATGAGAATTCAATGATTCATTGAATTCAATTTAAAATACATCGTCATAGAAATTCCATTCGGAAGCAAATTGCTAATTTATTATCAAAAATCTATTGATTATATTGTCTCAAATTCAATTTCTCACTTGCTTTCCTAACAACGTACCGATAATTTATTGGGAAATAATATTGGCAGCGGGTCGTTGTGACCCAATGTGCACGCCCGGGGATAATTTGTTGCCTGCAATGACATTAGCACAATATCTAAGAGAAAACGAGTCAACAAAATTTGATGTAACAATCTCCGAAAGGAAGTCATTTAGAGGATCTGAAGACCATTCATGTGGAAAAGGTAATTCTTCACTGAACCCACTATTTCACCAAATATTTCCAATTCATCTATTTCGCCAATCCAATTTCTCCTTCCAAATGAGAAAAAAATAAACTAATATTTCCCAATAAAATTGTGATTGACGGAAAAATCTGACGAAAGAGATTCGCAATTCCCCGTCCGTTTCATCAGTCTTGAATGCACGTGATCAGCTTTCCAAAGACATTTCCAATAACAATTCGCATTGAAATCATAAGGATTCTGACCAGGCTGTGCTGACGTATGCAATGAGGCTTCTGAATCATCCGCCCACGGCATAAAAACAAGAATCCAGTTTTATTTCTGTTTGTATATCTCTAGATCTCTTCTTCCTCGAGCTGAGCGAAAGGCGTTGAAAATAACTACTGTAAAGAATACAGCAGCTTCCTCAAGGTCTTCAGGAAAGGCAAAAGTCTTTGTTCAACACTCGATTTCTTGTCTGTTATCTTCGTGATTTTCATGGCGGATGTTCGAGATTTATGGCACATTTAGCCATAAAACTCGTCAATTTTCCTTCCCCATTACCCTAGACTCAGGTGTTACGTTATTGTGCGGAGTAAAAGTTGAACTCTCGCTCTTAATACGTGTGTATTGGGGAATGGTGGATACTCCCAACAACGAAAAAGGAATCGCTGGCAATTCTCTACCTTTCCTGGGTGAATAGTACGATTTTACAAGACAAGATACAAGAATGAGTGCTATTTTTTTCTCTTTCATTTTCAATTCTCTCCTTTTCAACGGTCTTGCTGCAAAGGGGAATCGTACACGTGTGTACGTAATATTGTCCATGGTTGAACCCTTTGTTTTCACCTCCGGGTTGTTAATCGTTGCGCAACAGAACTGCGAAGCCAACAACCAATTAAATAAATGTATTGCGTGATATGTTAGGATCTCTTCATTTTTTAATTTCAGGTTCGGGTTTCATGGTGATGAGAGGTTTAACTGTGGTGGAGTTGTTCAGTGGATGATTTATATCTGGTGTTTGATATTTTTAAGCATGGATGGAAAAATGTTTTCGTTGTTGGGGATAGGTTCCCAATTTTTAGGAATTTATCCTTAGTTCCTTAGGAATTTTAGGACACTCAAATTTCTAGAAATTGAGAACTACTTCTCTTGATTTTAGGATTTCACAGACATTATATTTTTTCAAGGATATCCAAGTATCTTCTACAGTTTGGTACAGACCACACTACAGATTCAACACTTTAAAAACATTTTGGTCTGAATTTTCCGTGCCAAATTCCGGAAACTTTTATCGTGTTCAAGTTCCACTGAAATTTCAGGCAATCTTGTCATTGAAAAATCAAATATTCCATTGATTTTCTGTTCAAATGATTTAAAAATCTATGAACTACTTGAATTTTTCAGTTCAATTATTCTATGAAAATTCATTAAAATCAGCAAAATTCAGGGATAAATTGAATATTCATGTGATTTTGGTTCTGTATATTTACGTTCTACTGAAAATCAATCAAGTTGTGAAATTTCCATCTCACTCCCACTTAAAATTCATGAATTTCTTTTAATTCTACCTAAAACTCGAAATTTCATAACCGTTTCTCCCCTAGATCTGACTCGATGTCACTCTTATGAGAAATACTATCATATTTTCCAGGAAATTTCAAAAAATTTCTAATAGTGAACCTTTTTCAATCATCAAATTTGTCAATGAATTTGCGTGAGAAAAATTTGAAAAAAGTTATGAATATTCAACGTCATTCAAATTATATTTTGCAGGATTATTATTTTTTCTAACATTCATTGTTTATAACTAAATAATTAAAATTAAAATTATTGAAATTATTGAATTGAATTATTGAAATTTTCTAATGGTCCTATATCGAGATTCAAATTCAAACCTGCAAATTTTAACGGACAGGCTTTTTGGCGCTGAACTTTTTGCCGCCACAGACGCAAATCATGTTAAAAGACATCCAAATTTAATATTTTCTCGGGGCGCCAAAAAGTCACGTACTGTGACAGCAGTGATGAAGAATAAAGACGAGTTCTGTTTAGTTTTGCATTTTACATATTTTTTTCATGTCCATAATATTAAATACTCTTTTTTTAATCCATATTTCATTGTTACTACCGTTACGGTTTTATAAGCACCTCACTCCGTCAATCTTGATATGCTTCTCTTACTCTTCTCTTTTTTTCTTGAGATTTTACATTACAAAAAAAAATGAAAAACATAAGACCGAGATGAGATAAATTGACTCGGAGTCATCACGAGAGGAGTCAATACTGCATATTACGAGACTGAGATGAGACCGAAGATTTCTATGTGCACTGAGACCGACACCATCTCTCCAAAGTATTTGTCTCGTAAAGTATCTCGCGGCATCACTAAAT